CAATGAGATTTCCATTAGATAAGATATTAATTGGGAGCTCTGGTAGCATAGTGCCTAAGGCACTTGACTGCTAACCGGAAGGCTGGCGGTTCAAACGCACCAGCCACTCTTCGGAAGGAAGGTCGGGCAATCCTACTTCTGTAGTGATACTGCCTCGGAAACCCAATGAGGGGTCGCTATGAGTCAGGGCTGACTCGACGGCAAACAAAAACAACAACAACAAGATATTAATTGGAAAGGAAAAAACACTATAGAATTTGACCCTTTGTTCCACAATTATAGGTGCTCTCCCTATGATATTGTTTGACAGGAAGGGATTTAAGGATTATTTTGTCCAACCAGCTAATCCATTTTTCAATTCCCAATACTATATTTCCTCCACAGACCGATTCCATCTGCTTAAATAAGGCAGTACACTATATAAAAATGCAACACATACAATTTTCAGATCTGTAGTCAACAGATGATTCCTAATTTTCTAGTGTAGTCTTAAAACAAAGCAATTGGTTTCATTAGTGAAACTGGAAGTTGGTGGGTTGTTTGGTGATGCAAATGTAACTATTTTTCTGTGACAGGACCAGTTAATTTAACATATTTCACTAAACAATAAGTACTAGTTTTCTAGCGGAGACTGTAAACTAAATATTTAGCTTCCATACATGTAATGCACAGCTGATAATGCATGAAAAATAAAACTAAACCCACGGCCATTGAGTCAGATCTGACTCATAGTGACCTCTTGGGTTTATGAGGCAGTATCATTATGGAAGTAGATTGCCCAACCTTCCTTCCAAGGAGTGGCTGGTGGGTTTGAAACGCGAGCCTTCTAGTTAGCAGTCAGATGCCTTAAGCAGTGCACCACCAGAGCTCACTCCCAATGCATAGGAAATAATAAGTAATTGTTTTAAGAAGTAATGATGAATGACAATTTAAATTCATATTTTTCTGCTGCATTTTTCATATCCTCTTTTCTTCCAGATGCACCACAATTGGTATCTTCAAAATGATTATTGCAAACATAACCACAATGGGTGGATTCCTCCTCATGGGGTTTTCTGACATTCATGAGCTACAGATTTTACATGGATTCCTTTTCTTGGTGATGTACTTAATATCCCTGACAGGTAACCTCATCATTATCATCATCACCACATTGGACCAGCATCTCCAATCTCCAATATATTATTTCTTAAAGCACCTTTCCCTTCTGGACCTCTCCTTCATTTCAGTTACAGTCCCCCAATCTATTAACAATTCTCTGATGGATGATGGCTATATATCCCGTGGTCAGTGCATGCTCCAAGTTTTCTTCTTCACATCTTTGGCTTGGGCTGAGATGGCCATT